AATATTTGGATTGGTGCATGCTGCGAGTGGGCTGGAATGACATGTTTCCTCTCTCTATATATATTGTCATAGTGGTGGACTGTTATAGGTACATGCAGATCTCACACCATTTTTTACATATTTGCATATATCAATGGTCAATACTGTTTTTTCTGTTTTCCTACTGACATTTACATATTACTTTGCCTTTTAAAAGCTACAAACGCTTTTCTCTGTACAGACCATGAAGAGATGCATCTCAGAGGACAAGCAATGCCACGTTTTCATTGTACTGAAAATACTTAGTTTCCTGGTCAATTTTGTTAGTAATCTATATTAACTTTATTTCTTATTGATTTTCTCTGTGCAGACCATAAAGGGATGCCTCCCTGGGCAAGAATGTCACATTTTCATTGTACTAAAAAACATAATTTCCTGGTCATTTTTGTTATTAATCTGTTATATTTATTATTATGAAGTGAAAATATTCTGAGGGTGCTTTCAGGTACATAAAGATATATAATGTATTCAGCTTCTGCTTACACTTTAGTTAGTTCAATGTGTTCATTACCTCATACCACCAGCAGTGCCAGTTTTGCTTACTTCCATTAATAGCCATGTAGGGATTAATCGTGCCCTATTATATCCTGTCCAGTTACATATTTATGCCTTCTCTTTGGAGTTAGATTAATTAGTTATTGTATTATGAGACTGGAGACATGTTATTGGTAATTTGAGCATTTGATTAGTATGTGGAATGCATATTTGTTTTAATTAAAAATACGTCAATTTTTGTATGAAGCACGGATTGGGGCTCCGGGTTCACTGTCGCGGTGTTTTTGCATAAAGATCCCTGTGCTTTTTAGGAATTAACCCGCAGTCACATCCCTAAGTAAAATAACGGTTCCCGTGAAAAAAAAGGGTCGCCCGCATCCTCTCGCACACGCACGCCTACCTGCATCTCCCCAACGGCTTCGCCTCACCGGCGGCAGGCCACCCCGCGCCCAACTAGCCTCGCCTCGCACCGGAGGCGTCCGGAGGCAGGCCAACCCTCCGCCCGACTCGCCTCGCCTCGCACCGGAGGCGGCCGGTGGCAGGTCGGACCGCCCCTCCCCTCGCTGCTGCCGCCATCTACCACCACCATCCTCGCCGCTCCCTCCCTCGCCCAGCCATATCTAGACGCCTAACCGAGAGAGGAGGAGGGGGGTTGACAAGGAGAGAGCAGTCAGCCGGCGGCGGCGGCGCCTCCGAGTACAGGTAGGCGACGGCAGCGACTCGGTAGCAGCGAGCGGCCGATTCATCTCGCCTTCATCTCCTCGCTAGCTCTCTGTCCTTCACAGGTTCTAAGATATGGCCTCTACTCCTCGACAGCCACACCGACGGCCCGTCCAAGAAACCAGCCCTGCTGCTCCCAACCCCCCTGAGTCTCAACCTCGCCGCCTATTCTGGTCGATGTTGTGATTGATAATAACCAGGAAGATTTCACCGCTCAGTTCATCCATTTGAATCCTTCTACTATAATTATGTTCCCTACCCTTTCTTACTTGCAGGAAATTCAAGTGGGTACACATGTGAGTATCTTCTCCTTCCCTCTGTTGTATGCATGTGGTCATTTGTTATCGCTGATTAAGAATCAAGATCCGTTACTTTCTTGAATATTGAAGACTGTCTTAGTTGGTCCAGATTAAACTTGACAAATGCAATTTCCTTTTGGTTCCATCTGACAATTTAGTTGTATTATTGATTTGAGCAGTTTTCAGTAATCTTAAGCCGTCTTCAGATTTTAGCTCACTCAATCATTCTGAATTATTTAACCTCAGTATGAGGTACATGTGTTCCAAAGATTAATCCTGAAAAATTTGTAGTTGATCGGTTGGGTCTGTTTGATTTCTTTAGTAGACTGCAGCGGCAGTCACCATTGTTCATGATCTATCCTAAAGCTAGATTATTTGCACTGCAATATCTTTGTTACTTCAATCAAATAGTTCAACCGTGTCTTATTGATTTGGACGGTTCTTATTTTAGCCTGCTCGGTCTCTGGATTATTTACTGTCAATTTTGATGCATGTCTTTAATAAAATAAGAAACTTATTTTGGTAGCTAAAATAAACACTAAACGCTACTTGCTCATGGCGGCTATGTGTAGAAACACGATCACGGTGGAGATCTCGACGGTCGATGTGAAGCTGGGGCGCAAGAAGGGCACGAATATCACCTTCCTAGAAGAATCTGATTTTTCTGGTACTGTTATGTGTTTCAAAAAGTTATTGGGATGTAATTTTTATATTGACACTATAATCTATGAAGTTATATTTTTCAGACATTTCACTTTTTGCATCAGCCGAGAGGCACAATTTATTTTCAAATAATTTCTGAAGTAAAATTTGTGAATGAACTGCATGATGTTTCATGTGTCTGATTTGTACTTGAAATAAAATGCAAGGTCCAGAGGAAATGTGAGAAAGTTGTCCAAAAACTGAAGAAACTTTTTTATTTTTCTTCCCATTACAAGTTTGCAATTTATACTATGCTTTATTTTTACTATAACGTCAAATTTATCATGTTTAAAGATGAATGGTAAATCAAATAAGGAAAGAAATTATGGTGCCTAGAATTTATATCCCTTAGCGCTTAATCAAAATGAGAAAATATTGTTTGATCCTTGTTCAGTCTTATTTACAGCGTAAACTATGTTTACCATTCATTCTGACCAGGAGCATCCAAACAGGGAGATGCTTCACACCCTGCGTCTAGGCATGTACTACAACGCCAACCACATGGCAAAGATTGCTGACAACTGTTAAGAGAAAGCAAACAACTGAGGAGGAACAATCTTGTTTGTGCCTAATGATGGTTGCCTGAACCTGACACCAGATACCATGACAACCTTGAACCTGGACACCAGGGATATCTCCCACGGCGTGCCTCTTTAGACCAAATCCAGCAATCAACACCTCGTCAATTTGCTCCATGAAGTTCAGGAACCATCATTAAGCACAAACAAGATTGTTCCTCCTCGGTTGCTGGCCCTTTAGTCATAAAAAATGATGTGTTGTGCTGGTTAGCAAGTTTTATCTCCCCCGTGGATACAGATTTCAGAATATATTCATTTTTTCAGTACGATAGCTTGCAAGTTGCAACGTACCACAAAGCTAGCTATTAGTTGAGCGTGTTTGATTTCCAACAAAACAATTCATCCAGCTATCCTTTCTATTGATTTTAGTAGAATTCTCGCCGACAGAATTGATCAGGGCCAGTGTGCTCGGACGGCAAGAATGCCTCGATGACCACCATGCCCAAGGCGATGTACTTCTCTGGCGATGCCTGTGGGTGGGTGTGGACTTGCTCCAGTTCGGCTACGCCGTACTGTGTTGGATGACGTGTGTGCGTGGTGTCGCAGTTGAAGATGGACCATTGTTTCGACTCTAGACGACATGGACGGTTGAGCTTGATCACGTTTGTTGTGAATAGGTGGACAAAATGGCCCCCGATGATGAAAAAGAGAAGTGATAGCACAATATAGTGCTAAATGTGTGTAAGGATTTGTTTAATCGTTGCAACGCACAAGTATTTTTTTGCTCAATCCAGGCCGAGCATTGCATCACACAAAGAGGCAGAACCTCGTCCAGGTCGACGCCAAACCAGAGACCCGAACAGACGGCGTCGATCTAGAACGACGAGGCAACATGGCAAGGCGTCGCTGGGGATTTGCCACAGAAGAAATCGGCGATCTATGCCACTGGAGAGCAGCGCGCGATACGCCGGCCGGCTGCAACATTTACTAGGGATAGTGAAATGGGGAACGTGCATAGAGATAGTGCGTGCAGTTCGTCTAGCAGCGATGGTGTCTTCTTGTTTGTGTAGGCCAAGTCCTTATGTTTGGGCCAAGCCCAAATAGTGCAAAGAAAAATTGAAAATAAAATTTATTTTTTCAAAAAACAAAACATTCTAAAATATATATTTTTGAGAGAAATGTTCTTACCCCTCAAAAAACAAAACATTCCTATTCCTGAAGAACGTTCTTTTAAGCAAAACATCTATTAAAAATGTTCTTTTTCAGAGAAATGTTTCAGTTTCATAAAAAAACATTAATTGTTCTTGAGAAAGTGTTCCAATTTTTATTTAAGTGTCAACTTTTATTAAAAATTAGGAAATTTTCACATTCAACTTTTCATCGACATTTATTAAAATTGGATATAAAAAATGATGCACAATGACACATGAAGTAGGTGGTGCTCCTTTTTTCGCCCGGTGCAACGCACGGGCTCTTTTGCTAGTAATTAATAAATAAAGCATGGGTTGAGTCTATCGGGTTCACCGTCATGGCGTTTTTGCAAAATAGCCCTTGTGATTTAGGGTATTCAACCCGTCGTCCGTATATAAGTCAACCGAACCGGTATATGGACGAGGTAAAAAAATCACCCTACCTCCCGATCCCATCTCAACCTCCAGCTTCCAGCGCGTCGCCACCCTCCCCCCGTCGCATGCGTCGCCACCGACGCCGCGGCCGTTGGCAGCTCCCCCGCTCATGCTACTATGGTGCCGCAAAGACAAACCAGAATGCCTACGACCCCGACTCCCTCCCGCGCCGTCGCCGCCCTTTGCGGCACCACCCCGGCAGCCCCTACCACCGACGACCACCACAGGTGCGCCTTCCTCTCTCAAGACTCCAGCTCCCCAGCGCCTCCCCTCCTTTCCCCCGAGTCCATGACCACCAGTTTGGTCGAATTCCCCGTCGCCGCAGGTCATGGTCGACCGCGCCGCCGCCCATGGTCGATCCAAACGCCGCGGTGGATAACGGGCTGCTGTGCTGATGCACCGGGGTGTAGCGCAGCTCGGCGGCCTGGCTGTTTTGGTGGTGTTGGTCGCGGAGGACGGGGAACCAGTGGCAGGGAAGCCCAGCCTCTGCATGCAATGTCGACCTTAATTATAGATGTTTCTGTGTTTGTTTTGGATGAAGTGGACTGCTTGCTAGAGAGAGGATTCAGAGATTAGGCCATGCATATCTTTGGCACGCTCTCATGTCCACAGGTCATGATGTTTTCAGCAACAGTACATTCATAAATTGTCAAACTCTGTCTTACACCATGATTGATACATGGAGTATTTCTTGTGGGAACCTAGGTAAACCAAACAAATCAATTAGAGAAGTGGTAATTTGGGTGGAGTCTAAGCAGAAGCAGAAGATTTTTGAGATAATGAAGAGTAAGCAGTACTTCAAACCTCCTGCTGTTGTATTTGTGAGTTCTAGAGTTGGTGATCTCTTGTCTGAAGCAATTACTGCTGCTACTGGGTTGGAGTAAGTTCCATTCAGGATGAGAAAGCAATGAAAAAGATAAGAGAAAGATTGAGACGGTTTCTCACTGGAGAAGTATCTGTTGTTGTTTGTACACGGGTCTTGGGATGTGGAATGGATCTTCTGAAACTACATCAAGTTTTTGCTTGACATGTCAAATTCCATTGATGAATATATTCACCAGTGACACATTCAAGCAGTTGAGTTACATTCATAAAGGTGCTACTGCCAAGCCTGGATTCGATTGGAGAATCCTCCAGTAGGAGCAGCGTCTGCCCACAACTGTTGTGGATCGGGAATGCAAGCCGGGTCGCCTCCACGTGGGCTATTGTTGCAAGGTCACGGTGCTGCACCTCAGCTAATTCAGTAGGGGTAGTTTATTCCCTGTCCAAGTGTTTATTATTGATCATTGTCACTTCATCTGTTTATTCTCATCTAGCTCATATATTTGGTGACTTTTTCAACGTTTGGCTAATTCCTTTTTATCTTTTGGAGCTTTGTGGTGAAGGCGAGATGAATTTAGAAGAGTTCAATTTAGAGTCAGTGCAGTGTGTTGCCCGGAAAGAAAATAGATTGGTGCAGTGTCTCTCGCCTATTGGACTCAGTCTATTACGCTTACTAAATATATACATCTATGATGCAGAGAATGGCCACATGGATGATTAGCATCTCTTCGCAAATGCATGTTAATTCAGTGAAAAAGTACTACTGTAACTATGACTATGAGCGTAGATGTCCACTCTTGATTTTTCACTTTAGATGTGATCATTAGTGTTGCTTCACACCTTCTTGACATAACATAATGTGTGTGTTACTAATCTGAAAGTCGAACCTAAGCACTGTTAAGTGGACTTCATGGACTTATGATATAATTGTTGATTATCTCTCTTCCATCACAAAATCTAACTTACTATGTTTTTTTATCACAGAATGATTGTTCAGCCACTGTCAGACTTTTGTGGTGTGCCCTGGCTGACAAACTGTGCTTTGCCAGCCTACTGGAGGGAAGGCAAGGTTCACCAAGGGATGATCCTTTCACCGGAAGGGTGATTAATTGTTGGGGAACATAATATTTCAAAATTTTCCTATGATCACGCAAGATCTATCTAGAAGAAGCATAGCAGCGAGCGGGGAGAGTGTGTCCATGTACCCTCGTAGACTGAAAGCGGATAGTACGGTTGATGTAGTCGAACGTCTTCGTTATCCAACCGATCCAAGTACCGAATGTATGGCACCTCCGCAAACAGCACACGTTCATCTCGATGACGTCCCTCGAACTCTTCATCCAGTTGAGGCCGAGTGAGAGCTCCGTCAGCACGACGGTGTGGTGACGGTGATGATGAAGTTACTGATGCAGGGCTTCACATAAGCACTGCAACGATATGATCGAGGTGTGTAACTGTGGAGGGGGGTGTCGTGGTTCTAACTCTGACAGTGATGTAGGGGGGTGTGTATGGAGAGGCTAGATCTCAGCTATTGGGAAGTTGTAAACACACGAGGATTACGAGTTCAGGCCCTTCTCGGAGGAAGTAACAGCCCTACGTCTCGGTGCCCGGAGGCGGTCGATTGGATTATGTGTGTATGAATAACAGGGGTGCGAACCCTTCATACTGAGGAGGGGGTGACTTATATAGAGTTCGCCGGTCCTCTCCTGCCCTCAGTAATGCAGAGTTTAAGGTACATTTAAGGTTGGGCGTTACTGGTAACGCCCCTGATAAAGTGCCATAATGACCATAAAGACTACTTAATAGCCGATCGTTTGCCTGCAGAGTGACTTTAAGCCTCCTGGCAGTCGAGTGGTTGGCTTCATGGTCGAGTGATAGCTTCTTGGTCGAGTGTCTTGAACCCGTCGAGTGGGATACCTTCAAGTCGATTGACAGGTGACTTCTTCTAGGGATGTCCTTGGGTAGGGCTTTTTTGGACAGGTCCGTGCCCCTACCCTAGGTACATAGCTTCATCATTAGCCCCCGAATGGATTGAGGTTAGAGTGGGAAAAGAGTTGGGGATCTTTCCGACTGGTTCTTCGGGCTACATGAGTGCCTTGTTTTGGATCAATCGTCACGGATGACGTCATCAACCTCTTTCAGTCGCTTTGATCCATTCCAGGCCTTTCGTCGAGTGAATTTCTTTACTTGTGACATACCGAGTGTCGGCGCGAGCGGGGTCTTCTGTTTTGACAAGTTGTTCTGCAGCCCGCGGATGTCGCGGGATTCGGATTTCGGGAAGCGCGCGGGACGGGAGCGGCCGCAGTAATCGGAAGCGATAAAGCGGAAGCTCCTTGATTGCCGCGCCACCTTTTCGCCACGTACTGCGCGCGCGTCTGCTGCGGGATTTGACTGGATAGCCTGGGCCTACCAGTCAGCCACTCGGGAGCGGCCTCTTATAAGTCGCCGGCTCGGGGTTTCCAAACAGTGTGCTTTCTTCTTCCTCTCTCCCTTCGCAAGTTCCTCCGCCACCTCCGCTCTCACCTTAGCACCGCAGGCCCGTGCAAGATTTGCCGGCGACGATGGCGAAGGACAAGACATCCGCTCTGGAGCGTGCGAAGAAGGCGACGGCGCAGGGAAAGGGGAAGAGGTCTGCTCGGGGCGGATCCTCCTCAAGGCCTGCTCTGCCCCGAGGCTGGATCCAGGGCGATTGGATGCCGTCGGTGATCCGGCAAGAAGATCTCGACGACATGGTCGAGGGGGGAGTCATTCCCCACGAAGCTGCGCGTCTCCCGGGGAGAGAGATCGAACCTCAACCCCGCGACGGTGAGTGCGTGCTCCTAGCCACCCATGTCGACCGCGGATTTTATCTGCCGCCCCATCCTTTTTTCCGGAGCTTCCTGAACTTCTTCGGAGCGTAGCTCCACCACTTCACTCCCAACTCCATCGTATACCTTGCTGCTTTCATCTCCATGTGTGAGGGTTTCTTGGGTTGCGGCCCCCATTGGGGACTCTTCAAGCACATCTTTACCTGCCGTTCCCAATCGGTCAAGAAGGCCAAGTCGAGTGACGAAAGGACGCAGGTGATCCAGCTGTGCGGGGGCCTGGCGATCCAGACGAGGGGAAAGAGTTGTTTTCCATCTATCACTTTCCCGGAGTCGGTCCGCGGTTGGCAGGCGACCTGGTTCTACTGTCAAGACCAGGCGACCCCAGGACAGTCGACTGATCTTCCCCCTTTCTCTCTCGACTGAGCTGAAAAACCTGCTTCTCTGAAAGTGACGCCGGAGGAAAAGGCCCAAGTCAAAGTGCTGGCTGGTCGAGTGGTTGAGCTTGTCCGTGAGGGCGTGACTGGTATGGACTTGCTGGAGGTCTTCCTCCGGAGGCGCATCCAACCGCTCCAGACTCGTGACCACCCGATGTGGCTGTACTCGGGTCTCGACGACACCACTCAGGTCCACCCGGAGGAGGTCACTGACGAGATGCTGGAGGGGTGGCTGTCGAGCATCACGGGGAACAAAGACAACCCCCGAGGAGCCAGGAGGGTTGTTCCATTCGACAACTCATATGAAGTGGATCAGGTCTGACTTTATGCTCCCGACTGAGATCTTGTTTTCTTCATCGGTCTTCTTTGAGTAGGTCGATTGACCTTCGTCTTGTCTGTTGTTTTCCAGGCGACTACCGAGATGTACTCGACGCCCAACGGGGCACAGGAGCCAACTGAGGAAGGGGAGGCGAGCGGAGGTGAGAGTGGAGATGACCAAGGCGAGTGGGAGTCCGACGGTGAAGGAGAGGGAGACGACAACGTCGACTCCAGCGAAGAGGAGGAGGAGGAGGTTGAACCCCCCTGCCCGGAGGGGCGATCCAAGCTCGCACACGATCCAGGGCGGGAACGTGGCAAGGCGACTGCTCCCGTTGGGCAGTCGTCGAAACGCCCTCGGGCCTCTTCTCCTACGCCGATTGGGAAGGCTCCCAAGCACCCACGCGCGACGCCGTCCAAGCCGCCCAAGGCTCTGCCCAAGATGAAGATGGATGTCCCTACCATTTCCGGGTAATAACAAAACTTGCTTTCCTTTGTCGACCGTGGACAGACCCTTGGTCGATTCATTGAGCCAACTGACTGACTTTCGAGATTTGCAGTGCTGCTACTTCTGAGATCTCCGCCAAGGACGACGACCAAGAGATGGAGGATGCTGTTACCTCCAACCCTGGTACGATTACTGACGTTCCGCTTTGAGTTGACTGAACATTTATTGCAACTCTGGTCGATTGAACGTTTTCCTTGTAGCTCCTCCTCATGTTATCGACCTCCCGGATGACAACGACAACGAACCGCTAAGAGTGAGGAGGAACAAGAGGGCGTCGGCTGACAAGACCCCCCAATCCGCTCCGGCGTCTGAGGCCGTAGCTCGGGATGGTGGCGACACCACTCGGGCTTCTGTGATTTTCTCCATTCCTCTGACGAGTGTGCGGCCCTCGACGTCGACTGCGGATCCGTATTCGCTTTTTGCCGCATACCCCGTCCCTGAGGACCAAGCGGCTGCTGCAAAAGAGGTTATACGCCAGGCGGGGATCATGATGGAGCAAGTGAAGGTGGCTCGGGAGGCCAGCCAAGCAGCTTACGACGCAAGTTCGGCTCTTCAGAGTAACGTCCAGGTCAGTCGACTCAACACTTGGTCTGTTCACGATATGCTGTTTGAAGAACCTCTTTTCCGAAGATCTTTGTATCTGTACACCCACTGGGTGTGTTTTACAGTGGGGGCACGCTGAGTGCACCCACTGGGTGTAGTCCCCGAGACTACGGTGGACTGCTGGCAGTCGACTGTAGTCTTTATATTGTGTTGCTGTAGCTGTATTTCTTCACTCGGTCTGGTCAGGCCATGTCGAGTGGGACTGAGTCGACTTTTTTTTTACAGTGGGGGCACGCTGAGTGTACCCACTGGGTGTAGTCCCCGAGACTACTGTCGAATGTTCTTGATTCGGCTGTAGTCTTAGAAACGTCATCATTGTATCTTAGTTGCTCGGAAGCAACTTGTCTTGGACGTCTGTCGACTGATTTTTCTTTTTACAGAAATCTTGTGAACTT